GGCGTATAGAAAAGGTCGTAACGAAGGACGTCTACATTCCGACGCGTATAAAAGGAATTGCAATAGATTTAGACATACAGAAACAAAAATGCCGATACTAAAGTAGGATTTTGTTTGAGATTTATATGTATTTTGCATTTCTCTAAGAAAGGGCTCGTTACTTTTTTTCACCATTGTTTCCCAGAGATCTTATGAAGTTGATTATATACCATACCGACACCCACCCTCGAAAAACACACCCTCATATTCCACTTTGCTAGTTATCTTGTGTTCGCTACAAAATAACGGTAAAAGTAAGTGAGCAAAGCAGAATATCTACTTTGATTTTGTGTTTCGCAGCGCGATATTGTGAAGAACTTTCAATTTTTTTGGACTCTTCGAATTTTAGACTTTGCATTTCTGAGAATGAGTCTTTGGGATAATGCTTCAGACATTTCAAGTTCTTCAAATACACAAACTTCCAACAGTGGAACTGATCTCGCGGTTATGACTCCAGATCAAATGGTGATATATGATTTGAACAACCAAGAGCTCGTGCACAGCGATACCGACGCACTTCTCGATTCTTTGGATGCTTGTGAGAAAATCGTTGTCGCAGCCTACAATGTTGCAAATTATGTTCCTGATCTTAGTAATAATAAATATGCCACCTTTTGGAAGAATGAAGTAAGTTTCAAGACCTTGGAACTTTTGCCGCAAGGCTAAATCGTAATAGATCCTCTCTCACATTGGTACCGTTCTTAACAACTTTTAGCACAGTAGACATTCGTAACCAGACCCCGTTGTGTATTGGATACTTTTTTAAAATAGAAGATTCTGGATGTACATAAATAACTAGAAGCTTCTATGATTGAGCAGAAAGTTCATAAAGATCCCGTATCCTCTATAGAACCTTTATTAGTTCCATGTAGAACCGTAGAAGTGTCTATGTTTTAATCCACACCTAGAAATCTGTAAGCTTATGAGTGTGGATGCAGAACAATGTAAGGTTTTGTGTCGTACCTTTTTTTACAAAGTAGCACTGGACAATAGTAGATAGGCGATTCATATCGCTTTTTCCAGTCGATGCCTCTGGTCTTTTCATAAGTTAGGGTATATGATAATAGAAATAGCGGTAGCACAATTCCGAATCTCTGCTAACTGTAATTGTTGCCAAGTTACTGCATTTGTGGCTGCAAAGTAAGTGGTTATTGTTTGTCAAATGTCACTACCCATTTGATGCTACTTCTCCTTTCCAATTAACATTTATTGTACTGTAAGACATAAAAAAAGATAAGCCGTATTTACGATTTGCTTGTTGGTCTCGAGCATGTATAAAAAGGTGGTCATTCTAGCTTACTTGCTGCTAAGAGCGATCTCTTTTCTTTCATCAATCTTTTTTCATCATGTTCTCTATTGTTCCTCCCTATAGAACTTCTCTTCTCTCTGACATTATCTCTTTTTTCCATTTGTTGAGAAAAGGATAATTAGTGAAAATATAAATAACATACAGTTTTGTTTATTTCTCATTATCATCGCAAACAAGAATAAAATAAAAGATACGTTTGAATAGACCACACCACATTTTTTAACAAAAACTGATTTTTTGTGTATGAAACAGTGACTTCATTTATACATATATCTAACCTTGCATAATAATCTCAAGAATGACATAAACTACTTCAATAGAATCGATCACCTTTCATCGACGAAAATTTATTGTAAGAAACATTTTTGTTACACACTATACGGATATCAATCAAAACATATTCGAATTTTTTTTATTCTTAATTGCGTTGATAATGAGAAATAAACATGAGGGTAACTTATTCATCTTTTCAGCAATTATCCTTTTTTCAATAAATAGAAAAGGAGATAATGCCAGAGATTTGATAAAGTGTAAAAAGAGTAACAATGAGGTACTTGATGAACCAACAGTTGTTATTCAAGTAAGATGATATAAACAGATAGATGAAAGAAAAGAGATCGCTCTTAGCAACAGATAAACTGGAATGGTCACTTTTTTCATACGTGTTCGTGGCCAACAAGCAAACCGTGCATAAGACTCATTTATATTTTAATAGTTTTTCTTTGACCGGTCAATAGTTTTCGCCAGTTTTGTTTGACGAATAATATTGTCGAATACTTTTGTGCTACTGAGTCAAATTCTGTCTTGATATTCTATCAACTAATAATAAATGTAACCCCGCTTTCGACTACAGACTCAGAAGTTTTCTTGCTTTTATCTTCGTTCGGTAGATTTTGTTTTAAATTTGAGGGCGTAGTTATTACCCTTCGGCACTTGTGGGTATGAGTACACGAGATGCGTGAAAGTGAGGGTGTGAGGATGTGGATGTGAATGTGTCAGTGTGAATATGACAGAGATGCCCATTGTGTCGTGATCACAGACGCTGTCACGGAAGTGGCAACATCAATTATTTACGTGAGATGATGGTAACACAGTGCCACCGAAGCAGCTATTCGGTAAAAATGATTGCCGACCGATAGCGACAGATTTATGACCACAATGGACATCTCTGGAGTGTGGGTAGTCAGGTGAGTTGGCGTGGTTGAAGAGGAGGTCCACACTCACACAAGATAGGTGAAATGGACACTCCAGAAAAATATTCCGATAAATACTGTAGAAAAATAACTTCGCATAAGGAATATATTTTCGCCATGATGGTCGACCTCGGAAAATTTCAGGATCGTATCTGAATATGAGTTCGTCGAAGCATTTGATTATCGGTGTTATAAGTATACTTAGCCGTTGCTAAGTCGCCATGCCATACTGTTAAGTAGTACATCACTGCTTCCAGTATCATCCCAAAAATCAACTTTTATGTATGATTTGCAGGTAATTCCTAATCTGGTGCGAAGTCTCACAGAAGACGTTAAAGCACGTTCCGTCATGGTCAAATCTTTGTCATCGATTCGTGATCTCGCAATTAGCATTCAAAAAGCTGGAGAACTAGTTAAACTTAGTAAAGGTATCTTTTACACGATCATTTTATCACCTTTTACGTAACTCATCAAGTTTTGATACTTTCCAATGCGCAGGGTCCCCGAATGCGATCGCTGCTGCACAAAAGACCATTCCTGCGGCCCTCCAAGTTTTGGAAAAGTGTATGACAGAGGTTTCAATGTTGGATAACTCCGCCATTAGGACATTTTCCGAACAAACTCAACAACTCTTTGAAATAATTGGCCCTAAGGCTGCCGACTTTGTCAAACAAAAAGCTGATACTGAAATTCTTCTGAAAAATCAATATAAAACACAAGAAGAATTCGCCACCGAACTAGCTCATTTGCAAGGTAAAATTTTGGTTTTTCTTGATTTATGGCAAAAAAACAATGCGATATAAATCATTAAACAATAATAACTAAACGAATGTGAAGGTGTTTGAGCCACATGCCTGTAATAAGCATCAAAATAAAAAAAATGCTCACAAATAACAATTACGTGGTGTTGAATAGATTATTGAAATATTTAGGAGAATTCGAACGTTTCAGCCATCTGATACACGCCACTGACAAACAAATAAGTGGAACGGAGAAAGCATTGGAAGATGCAAAGCGTCGAACTGAAGAGATGGCCACTCTCAATGCAGAAGTCGAGCGAACAATAACATCTATTCCAACTTCTATTCCACAAATTGTCTATACGACAACTCACAATAGTAGTGGATGGTGGCTCTGGGGAAAATCCTCTTCTACCACAGTAGCAAATACCATAATGGTACATGATCAAGCTATTCATTTTTCATCGCTTTTCATTCTTGGATAGCTGTCACTTATATAGTACTACTCAAAATTCTCAGGAAAGGGTATTGTTTTTTTCTTTAATATTGAGCATCTAACCCACATTCAAATAGTGATTTGGACACTCAATGAAGTCCGCAATCAGGTGCATTATATATGATCAGTTCATGAACGGACTATGTGAGTGAGGGTTCTAAAAAACCAAGCACGGCACTTCTTAATGTCCCGGAAGGCTTTGTCAGAGCTAACGTTTTAGAGTAGCATCTGATTGAGCATGAAATTCCGAACAAACTGAAGGATCACCGCGTTTGCTACGATCTATCTATAAAATGGTTACAGGTATGACAAAACTGGAAAAATACTTTTTGTTTGTGTCGATTTTTTCGTGAAATTTCTTCTTTTTTTGATCTCGAACTATTTAATGGAAGATCGTAGCAAACTCAGTGACTCTTCATTAGTTTCAGAGTTCTGTGCTCTTTCAGATGACTCACTTGAAAAGTAGTTCTCAACAAGCCTTCTGGCATCTAAAAAATACCGTATTTCGATTTTTAGAAAACCCATTCGCTTAGTCCATTCATAAAAATCTCTTATATATTACATCTTATCGCGAACTTCATTGACTATTCAAATCACCATTCGAATATGAGTCAAATGCTCAGGATCATATTAAAAAAATTATCTTGTTCTTATAATTTGGAGCAGCACTGTATTATCAATGTTTTATGATTACGATTTGTAAATATGTATATAATTTTTTCAATTAATAGGTGCAAAACCCAAATCGAGAAGCTGAAATGAATTATTATAATAGTATGATAAAGGTCAGAATGGAGCGTATTAAAGGAAATAAGGACGATGAGAACGCACAAATGAGAGTCAAAACCGATCTGGATAACTGCTTGAGTGATTATAAGAGCAAACATGAAACTATTCGGAAACAACTTGAAGAGTACAATAAAAGTTTTCCAGAAAAGATGGGGTCTGTCCAAAAACAGATTGCTTCATATCAAAAACAACTGGAAGATATTAACAACACGGAACATGATGTCACTAGCAAAGTTGGACTCTACGGAAGCAGTCTCATTCAATGCTTGATTGAAGTTCGAAAATTTGCGCAAAGTCTCAAAGATGGAGCTTCAGCATATTCCCCGCTTGCTTCGATCCTAAGTGGTATGTAAGATGTTCTTTGTTTTGAAGTTTTCAGCAAGGCTTCATCTAGATACTTCATGCAAAATGTATATGTTCTTTTAGCAGTGAAAGCGTCCGTAGAAAATGAAGTTATTCTGCTCCAGAGTCAAAGTGACGTTGATGTCTTTCTTGCTGGAAACCGTCTTTTGCATCAAGTTAAATTTCTTTCGAATTATTATTCTGCCACAAGTCAATCCATCCGATCTTCTGCAAAATACAACGCTTTAGCAAACGCGACAGAGTTCAAAGCTATTAAATCACCTAAGACAATAGATGAATGATGGCTTTCATGCACTGTAACCCATATTAATATATCTTGAAACAAATTGATACAGTGTGTGCAAGAATTATTGACCTTTTGTGTGTTGAACTTTTTGTTTTTCTTGTCTTTCCAAACGAAATAAATTAGAAATCTTAATACACGATATTGAATTACAGAGCTTGTCGATGTCTATGTTTATAAATACTGACTTGTTAGTTTTATTTTACTTTCATTTCTATTTTTGTTGTGGAATTTTCCATGAAAGCTCGTTAGCACCGCTATTAATGGGATACAAATGTGAAACTCACATGAACGATCAGACTCTAAATTACATCACATATTCAGTGCAGAATGCTCCCACTATCACCAGAACTTTCTGAGTCGATACTGCTATTATCTATCATGTGATTATGTTGATCGAGTGATTGATGCAATACGAACGGTTGTCAGACATTGTCACGTGCACATTGACTATTTCTTGTTTAAGTGACAATCGTTATCGATCTCAATACATTGTTTTATTTCGACCACTCATGATGAAATTCGAAAATCGTCTTGGTAGATGAATTAAGAAATTATTGGAGAATATCAATGGAGATATTTCTTCTTCTTAACTATCTGATGTTCGAGAAGAATTTTGACGCAGTAATAATACGTATTTCTTTTTTTTTTCTTTTGGTTTACTCTTGTAGAAAGCAAGGCCGTCGCAAGGTAATTCTTTTAAGCAAAGCAATTATACATGTTGGTTTTCTGGTGTGCCACTAATGCTCATATGAATAGCAAAGTACACTTAAATATATGTTCTACTATGTATATATATATGGAGTATTCCATGCGATCTCTACCACAAAATACACAAGTATTTCCAAGTAGCATGAAACCTTCAGGACTTGTAGACCATAGTGAGCTATGAAAATCTCCAAGATCAGTTTTTTAAATTACAACAATAAATAAGAACATGTTGAGCATATATGTTCTATATTTTTGTATATAGTCACAAAAATTAGGATTTTTCTGAAAGCGATCCTATACAAAAATTTATCACATTAAGCGCATTAAGTCTTACCTATAAATACGTAATATAAATATATTTTGAAAGCTCGTGATCTTGGCTACACTTTGGCTACAGAATATTGGAGTTTTGTAAATACTTAGACCATGTTATCCTTTCATATATGCGTGTATCAATTATGCAGTCTTGTACTAGAAAAACTTTCGGAAAAATAGAATTTCAGAGCTTGGCGAAATATAGGATTTTATAGAGAACCAATTGCTCTACAACATGCACTAGACGCGAGCTCTCGCGTTTTTAATCCGAAAAAATGCGAAACATAGAAAGACAAAAAATCACCTTTCTTAAGATATTTTAGGGAAGAGTATTTCCATAGAGGCAAGCAGATTATACAAAAATGCTTACCAGTTTTGATAATACCTTCAGCTTTTGCAGGGCTTTTGATTCAGAATATGTTCATAAAAAAAAATTTTCGAAAACTTTTGTTTTCATGACAATAGTGTTAAATCATGTAAAACCATATAAAATCATGTGAAACTGCTAAAAATTGCATCCATATCTAGTAGTTTTCATCATCATAGCTCGATACGAGAGCGAAACAAATAGCATATTCGAAATCCGCGTAAAATGTTACACCGATTCATATGATTTTCTCGAAAGAATTTTTTTTACGAAAAAATGAGTCCTAAGAGGCATTGCACGTAAGCCACAACCAATTTTGCTCAATCGATCTCACTGATTTGGCTGATATTTTGCGGTGTAAATGTAGCGTGTTGCTATCGGAATGCAGATGGGTGTGGGTGTAGGTATGGTTGTGGCTGGGAGTGGGTTTGGGTGGGTGTGGCTGTGGGTGTGTGGGTGTGGGTATGGTTGAGGCTGGGGTGTGGGTTTGAGTCCTTATAACGATAAGAAGCTAATACAGACACCTACACCCCCACAACTCCCCCCCCCCCACAACCCACACCCACACTATGCTCATAAATCTCAGAAGAGTTTATCTAACGGTAATAAATGAATAGTAAGGGTTTATGATTCTCCATTCTTTCGCAACGATATTAAAGGATCAGACTAATGTGCTTTCTGTATAATCCAAGCTGGAATCCTGACACCGGAACTCGATGAAATCCAGCTAAATCTATTATGAAATGCCGTATTATCCATAAGCAAGATTGACTTTTCTGGGTGACGTTATAGAGAAATCTTCTTATAAGTTGAATTGTTTTTCTTTTATCGAATATGATTTCAATGAAAAACAAATCCATGCTTTTCTATACCGTCAAAAAACTAAATTCAATTAAAATCAACTCGCAATATTAACTGTCGATATTTAAGAAAATTCTTTTTTTCTTTTTATGAGACACATTTCTAATAAGAATTATTGTCGTCTTCTTGCCAATTACTTTTTGTTATACTACATATCGAGTTGAATGTGATTCTAGAGCAGAATCGAAACGTTTTCTTAGTCAAATAGAATATTTTGCATACGATAGGCAATTAATAAGATAAGAAATCATTTAAATAAGTTTAACTTTGAACCTTATTCTTTTTAACTATTCATTTTAATCGGATAATAAACAAATTCTCCTATTCGATTCTAAGAAAAAAAATCAATAAAACAAAAGCTTTGACTGCAATCAATTCACGTTTTATTCTCCTGATCAATCTACTAAAAATTTATTAAACAAGAATCTTCAACGAAAAAATTGGCTCAACATATTGTAAAACATATTCGATACTTTTTTTCCCATTATTTTAGAAAGAGAATCAACAAATGATCAAAGAAGAAATAATCCCAAATATCCAAATGCAAAACCTTTGTGTTTCGATGTAGCAGAATAAAAATCCGTTTTTTTATTAAATACTTTTAAATAAAGAAAATTGCAATAAATAAAAAACCTGAGCATTTGTCGATATAGTTTCTCGTGATTTGTGCCTTCAATTTTCTCGCAATAGCTACCAATATTTTTTCAGAAAGCTCTCGAATATGATTCAATTTTTTTATGATTCTCATTGAGATAATAAAAATATTTTCATCTAGATTTTTTTAGCGTTTGCCTATAATATATTGGTCATTGACAAGCAAAGCAAATCATTGTTTTGAAGATGATACTTGTTTCGTTGTGGAACATTCGATACAAAAGGGATAGGTCGACAAACAGTTCATTCTTATCAAAAAATTGTTTCAAAAAAATATATACGTAAATAACAAAGAATCATCATATAAAATGAACTACATATATTGATCACATTTTAAAACGTTCACTAGACCATAATGATGTTTATTTTAGTTCCTGACATACATTTTTTTGTTTTCTTTTATGACAATGGTATGGAATATTCTTTACAATTATTAATCTATTGTCAATCTGTAATGAAAAGTTCCTCCTCACGTCCATCAATTCAAATCTACCATCAATCATTGAAAGAAAAGATTTGCAAAATAATGAAAATTCAACTTGTCTTCAATTAAATGGTGAATATTCTATGTTAAATCAATTAGATAAATTAATAGATTTAAGTAGTTTTGAAAAAGTTTCCGAATATCGTCGTTTAACAATCCTTGCTTTATTTATGTAAGACAATCCATCATTTGAATATGCTGAATAATTATAAAATATAGTCTTTCTATTGATCAATGGCATCCTTCTTATTCTTGAACATTTATTAATCAATTCTGATTTATCTCTTGAGAAAATTCGAAAATGATTGAAACCATTTTTAACTTCGGAACGAATGGAAAAGAATCGTCAAATAAAATTAGATTGAGTTGAATATTTACATACTAATGTTTGATCATTCATCGATGGAAAAGATCTCCTATGTTTAAAACTTTTTTATGAAATAAAAAATCTCTTGGTGATTTAACACATGCATAAAAACATTTTCAGGCTATTCAACAATTAATTGATCTTCTTCATCAAGGTAAATGTCGCAATTTCAACTACATCAAAATATTAACTGTTCGCCTTGACAGAAAGAAGCACCTTCACGAAGGAGGAAAGAAAAGATGCATTTTCAACAGTGATACGAATATATGTAGAAAAATGCTTATATTTTCTCGGTAAGGATTCTCTAGAAATCAATACTTTGATCAAACTACTTGTTTAAGTGAAACGGAAATGATATTTAAATCGTTGAAGAGGAAATGAAATCTCGGAATTGCACATCTACTATGTATTCTAGAGACATCTTGTAGCTCGATTGTCGTTTGGTGAATAAATCTGATGATGATTCATCTATCGTGTGGAACATTGTTTGTCTTTTCTTCTCTTTTTGTTCGTTTCCACTTCCGTTTCGCTTTCGTCCGGTATTGAACGAACACAACCGTTGAACAGCATTGCTGTTGTGTTCTTTGTCCGATGGTCATTGTTTCACATCTTCAACGGTCAAAGGATCTTTTACAATGCAGTGCAGATATTCTTATCATTATTACCCCTGTTCAGTTGTTTTATCGTCAAAAATATGAAAAATTCTTGCTGACATTGAGACTTTCACCTCAAACTAAGGATTGGATCAGTGAATTGATTTGTTTTTTGCTTCTAGATTATCACAATGAGTTCAACCAACATTGTTTCGAAGATTGTCAAATCTAGTTTTGATCCTGGTCTTCTACCTGGTATAATTCGCACATCTCAAACATTTAATGTTTTATTAGCCGATCTGAACGATTTTTTGGTTTATTTGAAACAGATCTGTGCATTTATTCTCGGTTTTACATCTTTGAATTCGATCGACATCAATCGATTCTTTGCTGATCAATCATCATACGATTCGGTTGAAAGATTCGTTGGTGATAGTCGATGTCAAGTCTTATTCGTCTCGCAAATAAATCCATTTACTGAATATTCATCGTTAATTAAAAGAGATGTTAGTGCCGATGTTTCAACATCAATAGTCACTTCATCGTCTTCGTCGTCATCGTTGAATCTCTATGAATTGTCGAACGAAATTTATGATATTAATCCTAAGTACTTATCACTTGTTGTGCTCAAGCGGAGTCCAACGATTGTCAATGACAAAAACTATCACATACAGCTTCAAGTCATCGATTTTATTGATTCAAATAAGCACAAAGTATTATTTGATGAATTACTCGATAAACAACGTATTGATTTACCAGAAATAATCCTAAAAACACATGCTATTACTGCTCAAGATATTAAACAATTGATCGGTAATGTTATTCAAGAATCTATGGATAATAAAAACAATGGTATGTCTTTGTTTGACGAACGATTTTGCATAGATGTGAAAGAAAATCTTCAGAAATCAAAAAGAATTTTCGAAAAGTGATGTAAACTCATAAGTTCTTCAGGAACACAGTGAGATATCCCTTGTCGAATGAATGAATACACACCTGTCCTACTTGAGAGAAAAGAAAACGAGAACACTGATAATAGTCGAATCATCAATAATTAATATCAAAAGACAGTAGACAGCAGTAACGCTATCTATCATTCCTTCGAAACGAATATCGATGGTCGTTCGCATAAAATGAATCGGATGAATCATCAGTGCTCATGGAACTGTCCAAACATTACCATGACTAGCTGAAGTTCACATTAAAAGATAGAAAAATACTATTATGTATATATATATATAGAGAGAAAAACACAAATCAAAATATTCCTCTGTACCTTGATTTATTCGCTTTGTCTAGATCAAAATCACTACCAGGACGAAGACGACGAAGAGGACAATATGGTGATGTATCGATTCTCGTTTACCAATGCATTGAATAATCACCATCGTGCCTGTGTTTTCGATGCAATACTAGCATATAGTGGTAAGTCGATATTTTTTCGAGCAAACTTATTCATTCGTTTTTTTCTCTTTTGCTTTTAGTACGAACTGCCATTGAAAACCGATTAAATACTCCTGGTACTGTTCGACAAATAGCCGATCCAAATTACATATTTCAACCAGGAGAAGAATTCAATGTCGTATTTCATACTCAAGGTTCATATATGTGGTTTCAAGCCTGGCTGTCTCGAGCATATTCCGGTTGTCAGCATGTTCTAACAATTATCGAACCTGCCGCTTTTGCTATGAACATTATTGTATAAGATTTTCTTTCTTTTTTTTCTGTATTGGTTAGATTCTATCTTTGTTATTAAATTGATGCTCATATTCAAGCTAAAAAGAAATCAATAGATCTTAAATTTGATGAACCTGATAAGAATTATTGAATATTCATGATGATTTATATATTTGTTTTGAAATTTCAAAATGAAGAAAATTAAATTTCGATCAAATCGATGATTTCATATGACAAATATCACCTCACCGAGATATCTAACCATATAAATCTAATTTGTTAACTGGACTGTTTGAAATATATGATTGATTTATAAATCTTTTTCTCATAAACTATCAAATTTAATCTCTTCTTCCCTGGTAAATTCTAATTGTCGAGATCATTACTAACTAACTATAGTGATTCTGATTGATTCATTGAAAATTTAATTGAATATGGTGAAGCAATTTGTCTTTGTAAAGTTTTTTCATCTAATTGATTTATTTGATCAAATTCATGAAAAACAAACTCGTTTATCTTCAGATCAATTAAAAAGTCATTTACCAAAAATTTGTTCACATCTTGTTGTTCTCCAGTTGTGCACAACAATATCTTTATTTGACATTTGATGAACAAGATTTATTACTTCAACTTTCTCTTGAATAAGCAGCAAAAAGCCAATTCTTTCTTCAATTATCTCAATTTGATCACGAATTTTTTTCAATCGATTTTTGAAGAAAATTCTTCTTTACAAAAAATTCCTCAAGATAGATCATCTTCCATTGAATATTTCATAAAAAATAAGTTTTACTTTATCAACGTTGACGTTTAGATTAAAGAAGAAAATTAAATTTATTTGATGAACTTACTCATCAATTTTACATTTTTCAACAATATTTATCAAAGATTTTTGACAAATTTCGAGAGTTCATAACACAAATCAATTACATAATAGTTCAGATTTTCTATATTTTATACCAAGCATATACGGCAGTTCCAATAATCTATGAAAGTTTATAAAGACTTATAACAGTCTACAGAGTTCATGAGAGTTGAATGTGTAGAAAACGGAAAAAACCTCTCTTACATTATATATCGCTCAGTATGATTGTTGCCTATGGAATCATTCTATACATGGTTATTACGTTTTTCCTTTCTTGCGATCAGTCATACTATGCTATGATAGAACATTGTAGACTCTACAGCTGTGCATACGACAGTTTTGCATTTTCTATGTTTGAGTTCATCACTAGTATAGTAACAAATGCCATAGTCATCGCTTGTTTTAGCAATATTCTTGCTGTTCGTTTTGTAAAACAAAAACAATATCTTAATCAACAAGTTAATTGGCATAAACATCAAAAAATGTCCATTCAACTCATATCAATTGCATTATTATTTTATGTTTTCTACTTATCTAATGTTATTGTAGCAATTCTATTGGGCTGGTGTGTTCTATAGAATTATGTGAAATATTGTGTGGCTTATGCACAATTTTTCTCTTATTATATCAATTTTCTAATGCTATTCGTCTGTACTGGAACTTTACCTCATCTTCGAAACAAAATTAAAAATATATTACAATTACGGTTATGTCATATACGTGTTGCTGCTGTACCAAATTACAATACTATAACGTTTAAAGGAGCTAATCAATCGATTGCTTTAGCAAGAACTACTCATTGAATAGCACACCATTTTCAATTGACAAAGATATGACAAAATAAAGTCTTCTATGTCTATTGTACTGATGTTGTCTGCTTCTAAAATAATGAAACGTAACCATCATGTCTTGCATTCAATACTATGTTAATCAAGCTCTTATTTCTTTTCAAAATAACTATTTCGATTAATGAACAATTGCTTTCATTTCTTTTTTCTACGTTCTATATTGTAAATCATTCGATATTACAACTTACAAAATGACAAACGTTTGATTCGTGTATAGTCTTAACATTTCAAGGTTTACTTATCTTGTTGAATGATTCGTATCATATCATAATATTGAGAATTTTCTTTTCTTTTTAACTAAAATCTCGCGGATTTTAGCAGTGTAACGATTGCCACGCAGTAGCCTTGACACCTATCAAGCTGATTTTCACATGTGTTGCGTTATCTTACGGTATAAAAAAAAATGATTTACATCCTGTACTCATAAAGCCGATATCGATAGAGAAGATGTTGTGAATGTAAAGGACGGGGGCGCATAAGACCACAAATCGGCCCATTAGGAATTTTTCGGGATAACCCTATCGAATCACACATCATTCGAAAGAGCATGTTAAAATGAACATTTTGATGCTATTTTCATGGAGTTTTGATCGAAGTTTTGAAGCGAAAAGCTATTTACAAAGTTACTCATTTTTGGGCACTAATCCAATAATCGACCATATCGATGGTCGATCCAATTTTGATGTAGGTTGATATGGAAAAGTGGTTGTGAAATTATGTATTTG